GAGCCTCCACTTCATCCATCCTGCTTCGATACGATGCATGATATCTTCATCAATCTTCCCGTTACCTTGTATTATAGATCCAAGATACTTGAAAGTACCTCTCTTGGGGATGACTTGCGTATCAAGCCTCACCTCCATATCCCCTTTCCTGGGTACCGTTGCTGAACTTGCATCCAAATATTCCGTCTTGGTCCTGCACAACTTGAAACCCTTAGACTCTACTTTAGATCATGCGCAGCGGAAGCAATCATTCAATCAGGCATCAATTACATGTAAACTAGACAACGCAATAATAACGAGATTAGGAACACTAACCTCTTGAAATAATCGCACAAATCTCCCAAACAGCAAGGATCCAGGGCTGCAGTCTTCTGCTATATGCCTAGTAAAACTTTGGACACTTTTGCTTTTGGGTGGGCAAGAACAATACAACTCTAGGGTCAACGATTAGGTGAAACCTGTCTCCCTTTTATAGACTCGAAATTAAGCCCTAAAAGGGAGCCCAAAATCGTGTAGGATTCTACAAGTAGAATCCTACTCTAACTCAAAAAGGGTAACTTTTCTCCCAAGCTACTTTTACCCAAGTCTGTCCAGGTTTTACTAGGTATAGCAGGGACCACAGAAATAATAAGAGGCTACTAATTATAGTATTAATTCTAAATTAGCATGAATTAATTCTTACTATAATTAATTGTAATTTATTCCACTAAAAAACTGCAATTGAACTCCTCAATATGAATTTCGAAAATTCATCAACACTTATTTTAACTCCCCATGTTAAGATTTCAAATACCAGTTAATTAAATTAAATCACTAAAAATTTAATTCAATTAACTAATTAAATCCTTTATAATTCCGTTTAAACCATCTCATGTGACGGATACAAAATCCACCGGCCGGGTTTTCACATGAAAACTTATAAGCTTATATAAAGGGGTATCTTCAAACCCAAAACCAAGTCATGGATTCTATCAACTAATTATTATTCACAAATGTTATTTGTTATTGTCCAATTTATTAGGCATATACTAACTCTAAATAGAGTCGTACCTTTTGATAAATCAAAACAATAAACAAATTACATCGATCATAACAATTATATCAAGATTAGAAGTATAAGCTCATTTAATGAATTAGAGAAAATGTTTTATATGTATTCAGTACAAAAACACCTTTTCTCTACTTGGTCTGTTCAATATACACTGAGTATACTAGCACAAGAAGTTGGAGTAAACCTACTCCCATAATCAAGACAAATTATACAATAATCTTGTGCTACAATCATCAAGATATTTTGTCCGATAATATCTTCGATTGTGAATATAGTTTATTAATTATGAGAACCAACAATTTAATCTTTTGTGCATGAGCTAAGACTCCATACATTAAATTGTCTACTACATAATTAAAAGGACACACATGTTACAAATGATCTATTTAAAACAGTGCTTTATTGAATTGAATAAATTAAATAAACAATTGTTTCATAATGAACAAAATTATACTATGTCTAAACCGCATGGTTAATAGTATATCCCAACAATCACATGTTTGATTAGATTCTAAAGCCTCAGAGATGAGACTTGAGAAAATTTTCTGTGTTTTTCATTTAATTGAATGAATCAATCTGTACAGGGACTGTGTATAAATACAAATTATATCTAGTAAAGAAAAAGAAAAATAAGAATATTTATCCTGTGTGTATTAATTATATTTGCTACAAAATAACAAACCTAACTAACTATTATTCCTCTCACGTGTAGAGAGTTTTTCACCGTGTAGGAAGCTTCCAGAGTTCATCATTATTTAGTCTTCCTTGGATTCTATTCGGATGGTCCTGCTTTAATCCATCAAAACATTTATCAAGCCTTGTGACGTGAACACGTGGCTCCTTATCTATCAAGCCTTTTAATTGTCTTTGTCTGATAATATTTGTCAAACACATCGAAGACTTCGAACTCTTTGACGCATCTCTTTCTTCTTCATTTACTCTTTTCTCTCTTAGAATTCAGGAGCTGAAATGGTGAGAGTGAGGTCGAATTCCATCGACTTTAAAGCATCAATCACAATGTTGTTCTCTGCGTCATTTAAGAAAGTTTCTTTTTTCACCGTCATTTATGCATGCTTATTTAAAAATGTAAAAGAGTGATCCTTTTTATTTATTTTTCCCAAAATAGCACTTGAACTACCTTTGTCTCTTCTTTTTTTTTTTGATATAGTATCAAGAAGTGAGGCATCCCCCCCCCCCCTCCCCCAGTTATTTAGGTGTCTTGTGGCCCTAGTGATAGAATGTTAGCTCATCTTTCGTGTTTTATTCTAGAACGACCGGAATAAATTCCTTGGATGATCACTTAAGTTATATTTATTTCTTTTAGGATAACGTCGTCACTTAAGCTTTGGCTTCACATGTTAATCAAAATGCAGTTTATTCAAGAAAGCACGCCATATATTTTATGCATTAGGCATAAAGTGACCTTGTGAAACTTTTATCAATGTTTTGCTATGTATACAAAATTGCAGGTGAAGCAATCTTTTGGTAATATAGCATGATTCAGTGATTAAGCTTATTTGGTATAAAATATGAACATCATTTTAGAGTTTAAAGTTAAATAATTTTTTTAAATCGTTTTTACATAAGCAAATTCGAAAAAATAACAATAACAACAACAACATATCCAGTATTATCCCACACTGTGGGGTTTGGGGAGAGTAGTGTGTATGCAGACCTTACCCCTACCTTGTGAGGATAGAGATGTTGTTACCAATAGACCCTCGGCTCAAGATAGTATAAGTACCACATTAATAAAAATATAGGCAAGAAGAGACAGTATCAAAAAGCCATATAAAAGCAGAATAACACAACAAGACAGTAAAGTGATCAGCAATGAAAGAAAGCAACGGTTAGTCATAAAAACCTATTACCAACAAAAAACGAGACTGCGTGCCAATACTAAAGTTATGAACACTCTACACTATCTACTCTACTACTCTAATTCTCGACCTCCATACCTTCCTATCAAGGGTCATGTCCTCGGTCAGCTCAAGTTGCGCCATGCCTTGCCTAATCACTTCTCCCCACCTCTTCTTTGGCCTACCTCTACCTCCCGTAGGCCCTCCAATGTCAACCTCTCACACCTCCTCACCGGGGCATCTCTGCTCCTCCTCACATGACCAAACCACCTAAGTCGCGCTTCCCGCATCTTGTCCTCAATAGAGGCCACCCCCACCTTATCGCGAATAACCTCATTTCTGATCTTATCTAACCCGGTGTGCCCTCACATCCACCTCAGCATCCTCATCTATGCTATCTTCATCTTTTGGACATGAGCAATCTTGACTGGCCAACACTCAGCCCCATACAACATCGTTGGTCTGACCACCACTTTGTAGAAATTACCCTTAAGTTTCGGTGGCACTTTCTTATCACACAAAATACCGAAAGCGAGTCTCCATTTCATCCATCCCGCCCCAATACGGTGTGCGACATCTTCATCAATCTCCCCATTCCCCTAAATAATAGACCTGAGGTACTTAAAACTCCCTCTCCTAGGGATGACCTGCGAGTCCAGTCTCACCTCCCCTTCCCCTCCTAAAGTCTCGCCGCTGAACTTACACTCCAAGTATTCCGTCTTGGTCCTGCTCAAGTTGAAAACCTTAGATTCTAGGGTATGCCTCCATACCTCTAATTGCGCGTTCACACCGTCTCGTGTCTCGTCAATCAATACAATATCATCTACAAATAGCATTCACCACAGCACCTCCCCTTGGATGTGGCGCGTCAGTACATCCATCACCAGAGCAAACAAATATGGGCTTAGTGCTGACCCCTGATGCAACCCCATCATAACCGGAAAATGGTCTGACTCCCCCTACCGTCCTCACTCGAGTCTTTACTCCATCATACATGTCCTTAATCAATCTAATATAGGCAACAAGAACACCTCTAGCCTCCAAACATCTCCACAAAACCTCCCTCGGAACTTTATCGTACGCCTTTTCTATGTCGATGAACACCATATGCAAGTCCTTCTTTCTCTCCCTATGCTGCTCCATCAATCTCCTAACAAGATGGATGGCTTCTGTAGTCGAACGCTCCGGTATAAACCCAAATTGGTTCTCGGAGATAGTCACGCTCCTTCTCGCCCTTAGCTCTACCACTCTCTCCCAGACTTTCATAGTATGGCTAAGCAGCTTGATACCCCGATAATTATTGCAATTTTTGATATCACCCTTGTTCTTGTATACAGGAACCATCGTGCTCCACCTCCACTCTTCGGGCATCTTATTTGTCCTAAAAATTACATTAAATAACCTAGTGAGCCACTCCAAACCCGCTTTGCCCACATTCTTCCAAAACTCCACCGAGATTTCATCCGGTCCTGTCATTTTGCCCCTGCTCTTCTTACGCATAGCACCCTCAACTTTATCAACTCTAATCTGCCTACAATACCCAAAGTCACAATGACTCCCGGAGAATTCCAAATCACCTAGTACAATGCTCTTGTCCCCCTCCTCGTTCAAGAGACTATGGAAGTAGGTCATCCATCTCCGATGGATAAGCCCCTCATCCAACAAAACTCTACCTTCTTCGTCCTTGATGCACTTCACTTGGTCCAAGTCACGCGCCTTCCTTTCTCGCGCCTTGGCTAACCTGAACAACCTCTTATCCGCACCACAGCCCTTGAGTTCCTTATACAACCGACTAAAAGTTGCAGTCTTTGCCGCCGTAACTACTAGTTTAGCCTCTTTCTTAGCCAACTTATAATGCTCCCTATTCGCCCTTTTCTCCTCCTCGTCTACACTTTCCACTAGCTTCAGATATGATGCTTTCTTGATATCCACTTTTCTTTGCACCTCTCCATTCCACCACCACTCTCTCTTGTGACCACCATAATTACCCTTTGAGACTCCTAATACCTTTCTTGCGGCTTCCCTAATGCACTGCGCAGTCATGGTCCACATAGCGCTTGCGTCCCCACTACTCCTCCAAGCCCCCACAGTCACCAGCTGACCCCTAACTCCTGCGCTTTAGCTTCCGTCAAGGCTCCCCACTTTATCCTATGTTGGCTATACATCGCCCTCTTCCTCCTTTTCCTCGTGATCTCAAGGTCCATGACTAGGAGCCTATGAAGGGTCGAGAGGTTCTCACTTGGGATGACCTTGCAATCCATGTAAAGACCTCTATCGGACTTCCTACAAAGTACATAATCAATCTGAGTCTCGGTCACCGAACTCCGGAAGGTGACCAAGTGCTCCCTCTTCTTCGGGAAACTTGAGTTTGCTATCACAATATCAAAAGCTCTAGCAAAGTCCAGTAGAGACGTTCCTCCTTCGTTTCTATCTCCAAAACCAAAGCCACCATGCACATCATCATATCTCCCAGGAGTCGCTCCAATGTGGCCGTTGAAATTTCCTCCTATGAAAAGCTTCTCGGTGTGCGGGATACCACACACCATCTCATCTAAGTCCTCCTAGAAACGCCTCTTGACTTCCTGATACAATCCTGTTTGGGGTGCATACGCACTGATTATGTTCGAATTAAAACCACTAACAACTAGCTTAATAGTCATCAGTCTGTCATTCGCCCTCCTAACTTCCACTACTAGTTCACGGAGGTCGTTATCAACCAAGATACCTACCCCGTTCGTGCCCCCAACCTCCCAGAATACTAAAGTTTGAAACTGCCCACATCTCGCGCCTTATCTCCTGCCCACCTAGTCTCCTATACAAAAGCTATATTAACCTTCCTTTTCTCGAGAATATTCGCTAGTTCTACAAATTTTTCAGTCAAAGTTCCTACGTTCCAAGACCCATGGGATCGCTGCCTACTCCGCACCAATAAAAGGTAGCAAGAGAGGGTCGCAATAGCTTTTACCCGATATGAGGGTCGGGATCGATTTCCTCAGGGAGCTAGAAATAGAGTCGAGTATCTATTTAGGTTGGAATTGCGTATTTGTTCCAAATATCACTTCTATTCATTTTTGCTTTTTTTTTTTCTATATATTCTACTATGATAAAACTACAAGTTATAATTGCAACTATATTAATCTAAGAGTAAATTGCTACAAGTTGTATCTAATGGTTTAAAATACACTAGGGTAGTGACTTTCACCTTGGTGGCTAATTGACAGATAATTGCTTCTAAGGCACGATTGGCATGATTGTGGAAATATGCTATAACCGTTGCACGATTTTACCCACTCTCACACCTCTCGGTAGAGAGAGTGATTTTGCCCAATTGACTTTCTCAAGACCAATTGGGTAGGCAAATTTGCTTAGGCAACTAGGGTTCAAGTCGGGTAATTACTCTCTCGAGATTTAACCCTTTAATTGGGACTATCAAATCTCTTGAGTCCATCCCAATTCTTTTTGGGTCAATTTTGGAAACTTAGGCTCTTTCTCAAGAAGAGCCCAAGTCAACTTAGCACAAATCAGTATTTGCAACCACTAATTCATAAATTAAACCATAAAATTAACCCAAATAACAAACACCCATAGCCAATCTAACCATATATCACAACACCCATCAATTACCCACACTAGGGTTAAGCCACAACCCTAGCTAATGGGTTTAGCTACTCATGCTTGAAGAAGAAAATAGAGAAATAGATGAAGAAAAAGACATTAACTAAACACTAAAAAAATACAGAGAATCTATCGTTAGAGTTAAGCTAAAATGCCCAAAATGGCTACAAAATAAGTTCTCACGAGCGCAGCAGCTATTCTAAAATAACTGATGCCCTAAAAATGGAAAAGGTTCTATTTATACTAAGCCGGAAAAACTGGACAAAATTGCCCCTGCGGGGTCAGTGCGGGCCACACAAAATGAACTACGGCCGCACTAGGCTCTTGACTCTTCAAATTCACTTCTCTGAACTCAGGCTCTCCGGACCACGCAGAATGGACCGCGGCCGCGGAGGCTTCAATGCGGTCCGTACAAACATGACCGCGGACCGCACTGGCTTGAACTTTGGCAAACAGCATCTCTCTGATCCTCTCTTCCCCGGACCGCGTAGAATGGTAGTGCGGCCGCGGAGCCTTCAGTGCGGACCGCACAAACTCCACTGCGGCCGCACTGCTTTAACCCTTGATTTGCCAGTTCTCTGAATCTCCCTATCGCGGACAGCACAGAATGGACTGCGGCCGCACTAGGTTTGATGCCTTGATAACTACTCTCTGAATCTCCCTAGTACGGACCGCACAAAGTGTAGTGCTGGCCTATTTGTCCTGAGTTTGCCTTGTCTTTGGTACTTATGCAGATTTCACTCCTTTTGAGCCGATCTTTGACATCTCGTCACTTTGTTGGTCAAACCTGCAATCAAGCACAACTTATGAGCCTTTTGGGACTATTTTGTATGAATTTATGATCAAAGCGTAAGCAAGAAGGAGCATGAAACACGTCAAAATCCCTAGTTATCAACTCCCAACTTAAGCTTTTGCTTGTCCTCAAGCAAACAAAATAAGACCCACCCCTTAAGGAAAAATCCAAGAATTTTCAGCTATCCTAAAGTAACCTCAACAAGCATCAATTTGGACTAACAATTGCCCTCAATACGAATGCATCAAATGTACAACATTTAACCTTTGAAAAACCATGGATCAAGTGTGACACAAGAGCATCAAGAGTTGACTCAACACATCAAAGAACTCTTTCAATTACTTTAGTCATTGTGGAATCCAAACTCACACATCCTCAACTTTCCCTAAGCAAAACCTCACCTTTTAGAGCATTTGACACACAAATCGAGGTTAATGGGAATTCACTCATCTCTCTCAAGGAAAGGTCACAAGTCCGGCTCTAAGTACCATATGCTTGCCCCTTATGTAAGTATCCACTAATGTAAGCTTCATTCAACTCAAGATCATATAGGGCTTTTATGGAGTCATTGTGAAGGCTTTTGGTTCAGGGTAGGAAATGTTTTGATCTAAGTGGGTTCCATCTTCCCTTAAGCACTTCTTTTGATTTATTTAGCACACATTCTCTTGACTCTTTGAGTCATCACACTTCTTTCTAAGGGGTTAGAGAGACACTTTGTCACTCTTTCTTATGGAATTCAAACCGTTTCTCCTTTTTTAACTTTCCGCACCTTTCTTCCTTTTGCTTTTCTTAAATCCCTTTTTATTCTTTCTCACATGTGAGCATTCTTTTTTTCTTTTGCTTTCCTTTCTTTTTTATTGCCTTTCCTTTTCTTTATTTTTGTGCCTTGTACCACTTTGTTGTCATCCTCGTCTCTCCCCCCAAACTTATACTTTTGCCATGTGCTCAAGGAAAGATCGGGTGCCAAGAGAGGGTATATTTTAGAACGGGTATAGGCTTGTAACATGGTTATTGAAAGAAGAAGGTCTAAGGTTCAAAAGGGTTAACTAGGGATCATAACATTGGTAGGCTATGGAATTTGTTCAACTATCATTTGGATCAAGGAGAGCCTATAATCACTTCTCAAGTCAAATTTCACTCAAGATTTCGCCTCAACAAACATTCAGAGCAAGTTCTAGACCAATGGCTCGGGACTTGGACTCGTAATTCGATTTCTCACCACACAAGCTAAAGGATTGCTAAAAATATAGAGTTGGGGGCCCACAACGACCTTAGATATGATTTAAGCACACAATGGTCCCGAAAAACCACTTGATGATTATCGGCCAACGCAAGAGTCTCAAGGCCACAACTTTCACCATCCTAAACACAACATTTTGTCTTTGACCATGGGATCAAAGGCAAATGTGCTAGGCCCAAGTGAAGCTTTGCAAGAGGTATCCTTAACTATAAACTACCAAAAATAAAAACAAAAACGGACTCAAACCCTTAAGAAGGTTGTCACGCCATCTATCATTGGGAAGAGCCACCCGGTTCACACAATACTCCACCTTTGGAAAGAACCGCGGCATTAAGAAAACCAAAGGCTTATTAAAACGTCCAAAACAAAACAAAAGGCTACAAGCCTATATAAGAAGCTAAAAACGAAATTATTTTGCAAAAATAGAAAATAGAATGAATATGTACAATAGGGGATTTGAATATACAACGGGGAATGAATATATACAATGATGTAAATTTATATACAGACCAAAGGAAAGATAAAAAATGCGATAAAAGTAACTAAATGTAAGATTATATACAGACCAAATGTGAAAAATCAAGAAAGCATAAAAGTGATTCATATATACAGTCATCCAAACAAAATATGTAGGGCACACCCCCTCAAATAAAAGCTGGCATTGTCCGCAATGCCAACTAAACAAAATAAGCACAAAAAATAATCAAGAAAGGATATGAAGACTCCCTAAGCCACGTCCGTCTGCATAGGATCATGAGTGTTCCCTGGGTCCTCGGTATGCTCGGGAACCTCAGACTGGTTCCCCGTATCCTGCTGCTGGGACCTGGGCCTAGACCTGGACGGGTTGTGGATCTGGTACATCCTGTGGCTGACTGGAGGAAGCCTCCGGTAGGTCCGCCAACTGGATGATGGCATCATCTGCTCTCGGGATTGTCCTCTTCCTCTTCGGAGGCCTCTATGTCTGCTCCGGATCTGTGGCTGCTGTTGGAGCTGGGTCCTCAAACAATAAGTCTAAAGGCAGCTGGTCTGCCTTCAGTCTATCTACATCCGCCCGTAGCTCCTTCACGGACTCCTTGGAGGCCCGTGTCTTTCTAAGCTTCTTGTGCTCATTGGCAAGCTCCTTTAGAGCCTTGCCATATGAATCCACTGCCTTTGCCAAATCAGCCTGGGTACTGAGGATCTTCTCCTGGTTGCCAAGTATCTTCTTCAAGGCATCCCCTATAGACTGTGGGACCTGTGCTGGCTGAGGAGCCGACTGAGCTGCAATGGTGAAGGTCAAGGTAGACAACTTGGATGAAGCAGTATACCTCCAGTTGTTCAGGCTCTAAAGTGTCTGGCTCAGCCGGTGGGCAGTGATAGGATGGGCCTGGGAAGATGGAATCTCTGGGCCAGCTGAGGTAGAAGGACCAAGAGGCAAGTCAGCAATAGTGGAAGGTCCGGGAGGCATGTCAGCAACTGTAGAGGCAGGCTCAGTAGAGGCCTCCACAACTGGCTCTTCAGACTGGCCAGTTGGGGCAGAAGCAGGGGCCTTGTAGTTCTTGTCCTTGGGGTTGTCTAGCCCCTTCAAACTATACCATGAGAATGGGGCTACCGGTTTGGTCTTGACATCATATGGCTTCTTTTCCACCTCCAAGTCCCGGAAATACATAGAGAGCGTATTGGGGAAAGGGTAGTTCCGGTCATGCTCCGCACCCACCAATAAAAGGTAGCAAGAGAGGGTCGCAATAGCTTTTACCCTATATGAGGGTCGGGATCGATTTCCTTAGGGATCTAGAAATGGAGTCGAGTATCTATTTTAGGTTGGAATTGCGTATTTGTTCCAAATATCACTTCTATTCATTTTTGGTTTTTTCCTGTATATTCTACTATGATAAAACTACAAGTTATAATTGCAACTA